GAAGTGGAGAGTCCACTCTTTTCTGAGCAGGCCCGTGCTGTTCGTGCGTTTGCGGAAGTCAACAAAACTGAAACCCTGCTTTTGGGTGTCCAACAAGAGACAGGTGGCTGCGGCAGTGGCGGCCCAGAATTGTCATCAATGCAGTTCTACGACAGTGTGAACATAACACACATCTGAAAGTCTCTTGCTGTTTCTTTCCTCTCTTTTGTTAAGGGGGGCGGGGATGACGCATCCTGTACAACTACACGGCCAAAAGCCAAGGGCAGCATATCGACTCGGGTGGCCGTCAGGGAAGTCCCGTGACACGGCTGGCAAACGCCGCTCGCGAGGGCACTCAGGACCTTAGGAGTCGAGGGGAGATGATGTGGAAGGGTGTACAAAAATCTGGTAAACTGCTTTGTTACACATGTACTATAATCTGGTACTAAATCAGGGGAGATGATGTGGTGGATGGCCCATGTCGTAAACTGCTTTGTTGGGGGTCTGTTTGGTGTTCCCGCGCAATGCTACTCAACCTAGAAGGCTTGGGCCTCCAAAGGGGGATCATGAAGTGAAGCTTGGACAATGCAGAATTGGATCTTATGCTTGCTGTATTGCGTGAGCGTGATGCATCGACTTGATAGTTTGTTCCAAATCCTGGGGGCCTGATCACGGATTCGCTCAATCGGTAATCTAAATCCGCAATCCGCGCTGCAAATTGTGGGTCAAAACCTTGTCCTGGAGCATCGAATATCCGCGCAGATGTGTCTTTTCTTAGGGGACCCCCGAAAATGGTGGTGGATTCCCTTTTAAACCAAAAGTGAATTACCCAAATAAAAAGGACCGACCTAAATCTTTGTCTTCAGAATTAACTTCTTTTAATCCCCAGGTCTGACTCTTCGGACAGTGGGCTCTCTTGCTTGCTGGTTCGATAGGCAGGGAATGAGAATTGGAATGACCCCAAGAAAAACTGTCTCCCAATCGTTTCCTCTAAGAGAATCCCCAACACCGGTTCATTCCCAACACCCAGACTCCCCTGGCTACTGCACCAGCAAGCTTGAAATCTGACTTGGCTGAAAGATTCGAACCCATTCATTTGGAGACAGGGTATTCCGGCACTCCGGCAAACCACAAGAGTGTTGTTGCTGTTTGGACATTGCTGTTGTTCCGACGTTTGGTGTCCTGCGGGGTCTGGCCGAATCCGGAGCAACCCTGGCCAAGTTAGCAGAATGGGACCGGTAAGGGAAGAACACTGAGGAAGTAAAGGAGGAAATCGTTGACAAGCTTCTGTCTGGCGCATAGGTAAAGCCAGTTGCTTTGCTCTGAAGCGATCCGATCGTCAACCCTTGAGTGTGAGAGACAGAGAGACATGCATGGCCAATGGCCCACATGAGGAGCTGTGAAGCTGACACATATTAGCCTTTTTTGTGTGAAAGACAAGGGTTTCTGTTTGGACCCCGTTGGACATGCGTACCTTCTTGGGGGTCCCGTCCAAGTGGCTTTTACCAGAGGCTCACACATGTTATAGTTTCAAAGAAGGGGACCCTTGCCTTTCATCAAGGTCCTTGCTCCTGAAAGTGTGGTTTCGAAAAAGCATCCAATTTGACCGAGTTTCCTTCAAGACTCAGCTTCATAATTTGGGGATTATCTCGAAAAGGGAAGCCGCCTAACCACCTAACCACCTAACCCCTTCGAAAGCGAAGGCCACCTCTCCACCTCTCCCATGAGAAAGACATAGATGCCACCGGCTCCTCTTAGATTCCCCTCTCTTTTTTCGCCGTGGCGTTTGAGAACAGAAGATCCAAAAAGAGACCAACGTCTAACGTCTGTCGCTCGAACGTGTTTTTGTTGTTTGTTGGTTGTTGGCTGTTGCTGGTTGCTGGTTGGTGGTTTGCTGTTGGTGGTTTGCTGTTGGTGGTTTGTTGTTGGTGGTTGTTGCTGTTGGTTGCTGTTTTGTTGTTGGTGGTTTGGTTGTTGTTTTTTTCGCAGGAGTTCCTCCTGAAGACCGCGGCGGCCGGCTCCAGCTTCATGAGCTGGAGTCAGAGCCTGCTGGGCTCCGCGACCAAGGCGCCACTCCGCCGAGGAAAAATTCGGCAGGGCTCCACGGTTTGGGTGACCTAATAGACCGCAAACCCAGGGGTGAGTCATGTACCCCAAAAAGGGATCCCGGAAACTTTGAGCCTAGTTGTAGGTATGCAAAAATTGGGGTCTTGGGATATGGACCGCAGGTTTTTGAGTCCTTTCCATGTACCGGGGGCAACCCGTGTTCATGTTGGGGTTGCCCTATGTTTGACCACCACACCCATTCAAGCCAGCCCCCCGGTTTTTCTTCAAGGGTTCCCGGAAGTCCTGGAAGAAAGACTCAGAAAACACCCAAAAGAAAGGTCCTCCAAGAGGATTCGATGTCCCAGCCTTTCCGAAGAGAGTGCGGAGTGCGGTTAAGCGTGCCAAGGTTACGGATGTGTTTCTCCCGTTGTTCTCCCGACATGTTTTTCTACGGCGATCCTGAACAAGGGAATGG